TTTTTGCAAGTACAACATTTTCAAAAACTTTGTTGAAATGTGATAAAAGTCTGTAAATTTAATTGAAATGTTTATCTTATTCAGTTTTACACACACTTTCGTATGATGTGTTTAAAGTTTATTCAAAATTTTTTGTGCTGTTGATATATTCTGTTTATCTCAGCATCTCTTTCAAAACACTCATGCTGTATGCTTAATTGTTACTCCAATTGTACATATCAATTTTCACAGTCAACAGGTAAAGTACCACGAAACTATTCAGAAACGAGATTATAGCCTGTCCCCAGCCACTGTTATAGTAATCGATAGTCCTAAATACTCATTTCCGAATCACTGTACTGACAGCGTATTTCAAGAGCGATAAATAGTTTCAGATATATTAAAAAAAATGTTTTTATTACATAAAGTTGTCTGATAATGCAAAGCAAAATTACTACGATATGTTTTTTTTTGTCCATAAGATAATACCGTCACATCTGTGATTGCTGGCGGTTATACCATTTATCATCATCGTCTACTAGGTGTCACTGTTGCTGAATTCACAGAAATGCTCACAGCAATATAAACAATAATGTAGACAATATTCGAAGCTAGCATTAATACAGCACAGGCTAATTGTCCTTTTAGAAATGGAACTTTTGAATAGGGTGGCGAGGTACAAGTACTTCCATCAGAAGAATAAACGACTGTATTGGTAACGCCATTTATGTTTGAGCAAACTGTTGAACCGAAATAACATTGACACACATTATTGATAAATACTACATCGAATGCAAGTAGCACACAGGAAAAAGCAAGACAAATGATATTTTGAACGAGAAGGTACGTTGCACAACATTTTGACCGACGACAACAGACTAAAAAAGCGAAATAAATAAAATAATTCCCGTATGCTAATTTTCGAATGTTCAAAAGAATTCGTGAAAGTTCGATTCGTGATTACTTATACTACCATCAACTATTCTGAGAGGCTGTAATACAAGAGAGAAGAAGAAAGAGATTATTTGATTTATATTATTTTGCCAACATTGTCTGGCCATGTTCTACACGATCATTGTGTCTTTTTGCAAGATATTGTAAAAGACAGGGAGAGAAGAAGGAGACCGATAAACAGTGCAAATCTACAGTACTAAGACCACTTTTATAATCTGTTTAATATTGCATGGGAGGAGGGTATCCAGAAAACTTTTTAGCTTTATATTACATTGTACGCCTTTTCCGTGGAATTAGAGAAGTTCACAACATGTCCCCAGCTATCCTGGCTGCGAACGCCGACCGAAGGAAGGTGTGAGCATTTTCTTAAATTTGAGAAATATTTCAGACCGCTGGGGATCTTTGGAGGGTCTCGAGAAAACTGTTCAGGTTTTCATTAGATTAAGAACATTACACATCCAACCAGGAAAATATTCACAACATATTTCAAATAGTCCAGTAGCAAACGCCGACCGGCTTGAGCGCTTTCTTTGATTCAAAAGTCATGGAAGATGGTTCGCATGCGATCTGCAGATATAAGTTCCTAAAGTCAAGGGACAGACCGAGTACAAAACAAGCGTTTTCTTGTTGTGAATACTATGCTAATAAATGGAAACAACAAGCGCCCTCCCATATGAGAGTAGCACAGAGAGAGGTATAGTGCGAAACGTTTTCTACTACTATACGTTCAAGAGGTGTACTATGAAACCTGTTCGAGTACCAAACCTTGAAGAGTATGATACAAAACCTTGGAGGGTATTACACGAAATCTCTTCGATTACTAAACGTTAATGAGCTTTCACTGATCCGTATCATACCTGGTTGGTATGGGAAAGTTCCACAGAACCTCACAAGCTTTATACTATACCTTTTCTTTTCAGAGTATACTGTCTTGTTTCGATCCCGCATCAATGAAGGATGAAGAAATAATCTCTTCTATGATGTATATACATGCGATAGAAATTACCTTCATGTATAATTCTTTTTAAAAAAATTTCTACTAAGGGTACATTGTCTGAAGAAAAGAGCATTGCTACTCGAAACATTGCAGATATAAATAAATTTTATATTAAGAGTACAATAGAACTCAAATAATTCGAAATGATTTTCTTCAATATTACTCAGGAAAGAAAGGGATGATAGTAATATATAACAACATCCAACTTACGAAGACCAAACATCGCGATCCATGAAATAGTAAATATTGCTGAACACCAAAATCCAGCATAGATAGTACCATGCACTAAATCATAGTAAACACTAGCCGCTTCTAAGCCTACGATGCTCAATGTCAGTAATAATTGTAACACGGCCAAAAGACTCGGTACAGATGCTGGAAATTTTTCTCTCCATTTATCTGTTTCCAATTGATATGGTTGTACATAGCCCACTGGTTGTTGTTGTTGTGGTTGTTGTTGTTTAACATACATTATTAATGTTATTACTATTAGATTTCAATCGTCTGTTTGAATACAATACAATTTACCGTAGCTAATAAATGCAAATCTTAACTGAAAATACCCTAAACGTTACAAGCAAATACATGAAGTATTGATTTTGATTATTTAAGCAGAGTGTACATTGTCTCTACACATTCTAAAAGAAAATGCGACTTAATTTGACCTTAAGTCGCATTTCTTTTTAGAGTGCATGTTCTGCTACCTGGTATGTTCTATAATTGTCCTTATTGTTCTTAACATTAGGAAGAAAAACTTCAATCAAAAGACTTACGGAAGTGACTGATGTATTTTTATACCGTTTATGTAAGTTTTAAATAAACTATGTCAGTATTTATATAAAAATTTAAATGCTCTTATAGTAACAATGTTTTTTTAAAATGTTTACACCTACATCACTAACAACATATTTACTAAAAACGTTATGACGTATTTGTCGAATCAAAAAAAGGTTTTAAAATATTTTGCTTCATTCACCGTTCAAATAGAAACTAATTACAAAAGACATAGTTTTCCAATTATTCATACACAAATTTTAAATTAGATTCATCTAACTGATCTCTCATCATGGTCTTAATGCAACTAGACCGAACGATAGCCGCCTTAGTTTTGAGTTCGTCTGTTCTTTTCGCAAATTTCGACATGAAATTCACAAATTTACCCAGCTGAATAAACCGGTCCATCAGGAGAGGGAATCAAAATCGTCTAAATTCCCAAACATAAAAAAAATCTAGTATCGTCCGATTTATTGAGATTACTAGATTTTTACTCGATTGAAATTATTGATAATGATAGTGGAAATCTAGTGATCGATCGATTGCTAGATTTCTCCTCAGTCTTGCAGCAATGATCGATTTATCACCCGATAATCGATCGATTTAACTATTGCTACATCTTGTTAAAAGTCCCTTTTCCAATTACTACCTATGTGGAAATTTGGATACTCTCCACAATGTGAACACGGATTGAAATTTTGAACGAAAACGATTTGAATGAAAACGAACGTGGAAGATAATTTTGCATACGGAAACACGCGTGAGGTATTATCCTTTAACGTGATCATGAGTGTAACAACATTTTTATAAGCATTTATGATACAAATCACTATTTTTTCGAATTTGAACTCGTGAACAAGGTTGAGCAACTTTATTTCATGTGCGAAAATGAAGTAAATTCATATCGCCACTTGTGAAAATCAGTTATTATTTGTGTTCACACTGAAAAGGGTAAGTAAATGATCGTTATTGTGCGTGAAGTATTTAACTGAAACGTGAAAGCGCATCATCTCAGTTATTTGCATCGTCACTACGCGCGACACAAAACTTTCTGCTTGTGTTCACTGCTAAAAGTTTTATGTAGAGCCCCTAGAGAATGTCCAGTTTACCTTGTCAGACTACTGTTCAGATACCTGTAAGTAAAAACGTCCTTACCTATTTTCATGGTCAGGACCTGTTTTTTGCCTGATCAGTGGAAGAAATCAAAACCGCGAGCTTGTTGAATGTATGAAAAATTTCTAATCGTTGATGGGTTGGTTGCTCAAAAATGAGGAGTACTGCTCGCTAATCGCCCATGCTGCGTAAAACGCGGTAGAAATCTAGAAGGTTTTCTGGACACCCTCCAGAGAGCTTCCAATGTAGCCATCAGACTCAGAATGTCGTTAAATATCTCTTGTTCAGCACAGAGCTCTCCAAAACCCCACTCATCACCGATGAGAATAACTTTGGAATTTTTCGAAGAATTAATGATCACAATATACTATGTGCCTTAGCAAAACAAAACGGTGATTATGATGGTCCTGGTCTTGGTCTTGAACCTGATCAGTGTCTCTCTTGCTCTGATCTTGGAGCTGATCAGAACAAGAAAAAGGAACAGGAAATAGACACCTTTCCAATAGGTTTTCGCTTCAAATGTATGCGTCACCTGAAGATTGCATTGGTTAGATTCAAAATATTAGCGTATAAAACTAATAGCGAAATTTCTACATTACAACCGGGAAATATTTCTGTCGCTCGTTGACATAAATGAGAAAACTGTTCCATAAATGTTCATACATTTCTTTTAGGGCTATGGGTTTATACACGAAGGAACTTAATTTATTATCGTGTCTACTATGAGCAAATATTTTTTCACGTATGTTCATCTGCGACCATACAACTGTAATGAGTGAACACCGTGAAAATCGATGAGTCATAAGCAAGAATACAGAAGAATCAGGGATGAATTGTTTAATCTTTCTCCGGTAAGCAATGTTGTAAAGGTCAACAAACTTTATCCTAGTGAATGTCCTTGACGATAGGTACCCGAGTACTTGCGTTTTTCTTAGGTACCTATGCGAGTACCCTGCTACATGAATGTCATAGGTTCTTGAATATGATATACAAAAAATTCTGTTTGAAAAAAACGAAATTTCAGTAGACATTAATGATGTCGCACTTTAGCAAATTCTTAAATACCAAGGTTAGAAATATTTCTGAATCTCTTTCGCTTTCTGAAGTCTTTGGGGATTTGTGAAAATTGGCAGTCTACGGTCTGGTACTCTTGAAGAGTACTGGATTATTGTAGATCACGCGAGTACTTTCGAGGATACACCAATTAAAAAAAACATACAAAAAAAACAGGGAAAACCAGTGAAAACGTTCGACTATCCCTGGACACTAGTTAATTTGTCGTTTTGTTCACGCGTGTAAAAGTGTTTCGATAGGAGAACACGTGTGAACAAAAAGACAAATTAACTGGTGTTCACGAAACACTATTTTTTCTCGCATGTTCTCGTATCAACATATCGTTCCCACGTGAAACTACGGTGAACGAGTTTTTATCATGTGTTCACGGTCAAATTCATGAAAATGCGACAAATTAACTAGTGTTCACGGTTCGTTGATACGTATCTTGTGTCGGTGCACTAGTGATCACGCGTGCAAAGCAATGTTACAAGAAATTTCCAGGCGTGTTCACATCGTGGAGAGTATCAAAATTTCCGCATGGGTAGTCTAGATGACAGCTAGTCGTGCATCGCACGATTACAAACGAATGTATCTAGATTTTTCCCATAGGTGAAATTTGCTTGGGTTAAAGAACACAATTCCCGAGCATGTACGATATTTTTAACTTTTATATGAAATGTGTTTCATATTCACTCTGACATAGTATCCCATATCAGTCTGGTATGTTTGTCTAGATTAGAAACTAAAATTTCTACTTATTTTCTCCAAAAGATGCTGTTTTCGATGATTTTACTTTTTTCAATGATAGTTAACCACATGTATAGAGATCATTCCTTGAATAAAAGTAACTGACACTATTACGTCAAGAAAAGACCAATAAAGTCCTGTAGGACAACATATTTTTGCCTCGAATTATGTAAGTTCGAGTCTGTGAATCCGAAGGACTTTCCAAATCCGTATCGCGTGTCTTATACAAATAAAGGTGTCCATGGACAAAGAAAACAGCAATAATAAAAAGATGACGTAGATATGTGCGGCGAAGAAGAGGAAAGCAACTGTATAATAACACTACATTTTTCTTCGGTGACATTTATAGTTGACAATCGCGCATATTTTGTAATCACTTGTGCTTTTTGTTGATGACTGACATACAGTACAGTAACTAACTTTGTCCAACTCTGTCCTTATTATAGCTGATACCCAACAAGTGAATGCAACAAAATGTACACAAATAAAAGCACCAGAAAAAAATATTTTAAAACCATACATAATGTTGACAGAGTGCAAATATAATCACTTCATATAAACTAATCGTAATTCTTATAAGGAGTCACAAAATTATTGTCAATTAGTCTCAATTAATCGGCGACTTGTCACTAATTTTGAGGACATGGCGCATTATTTGTTATAGTCATTCTCGCCGACTAAGAATGAAACATTTGAGCGAAGTTTGATTGTTTTGTCCTTATATATTTTATGATTGACCCTTTTTTTTCTAGTGCTTATTACATTACTTTTTTCGCATTTACTTGCTGACTTATACAAACTGGAATAAAAAAGTCATCAGATTTAGAAAGAAGTAAAAGTTTCTTTGTGTTATCTTAATAAATGAACCTAGTTACTCGATAGGACAAAAAAAATATTTTGCTTTTTATCATTAATTGAATGATGTCTGAACATATCAGTGGTAGTGCGTCGCACCTCATAATGTCATTATAATACGTCGCGCTGTCACGCATTATTGGGAAAGCATATCACCGATAGAAAAATAAAGTTCATTCAGACCCAATCATTAAAAAAATCTAGTATCGTCCGATTTATCGAGACTACTCGATTTTTACTTGATTACAGCTATTTGGTAACGATAGTGGAAATCTAGTAATCGATCGATTGTTAGATTTCTCCTTAATTGCAACTATCGATTTAACTATTGCTAGTTGCATATGCAGACACATCTAATTAAAAGTCTCTTTTTCAACTACTAGTCTAGATGACAACTAGTCGTTCATCGCCCGATTACAGACGAGATGTATCTGGATTTTTCTCATAGGTGATTTTTGCTTGACGAGTCGTGGAAAAGTGATTTTTACTAATCAGCAAACTCAATAACCTAAAAGATTTTCTATTTTTGGCGCGATTTATTGTCAAAAGTTTAGAAAAAATTTTCGAACAAAGTGACTAAAAAGAATTTGTGGGAAAATAATATAAGTTTGAAAATTTGGTTTAAGCTTTAATACGGAAGAAACAGTAATCAAATCAGGCTGTGCCCATTGCATGACACTGAGTTTGAAATTTTTTCTTGAACTTTGGCACTACGTCTTGTTCAAAATAAAAAATCTTCGGGGTTATCAAGTGTGCGGAATAAGAAAAGGGAATCGACTCTGCATGAACTTTATTTTTTTGTTCACATTGATATGCTCTTCCTACTACGTTTCCGTGTTAAAGCCCTCCCTCAGAAATTATCTCCAACACTGTACATCCTATTTTAATGAAACTTTCCATAAATGTTAGGCAAAATGCGTTCTGGGA